GGGATTTAGCTCAGTGATTTCGCCACCTGCTGCGCAAGCTTTAGGACCCGAGTTCCATCCCCCGGTACCAAAAAACAAAAAAACAACTTAATAAATCCTGTTTTCACTGACACAATCCTATGACCTTCTATTCTCTCGAACCATTTGACCATTCTCTTCAAACCTTTGTAATGGCGTCCATTCTAATTCAAGCCTCTATCATATTATACCTCAACTAATGCCATATTTCTTCTTATTTATCTCACCCTCCATTTATCCTATGTATATTCATTTCACTAAACAAGTATTTATTGAGAATTTACTCCATGCCAAGTCCTATCTTAAAGACAGACCTGAGCTCTACCTTTTGTATATTTATCTTCCTAAAACATTGTTTTGCAAATGATACTGCACATAAAAAATTTTCAATATGTATTTATTAAAATCAAAATGTCTTTTTTTTTAACTGGGTGTGGTGGCACGTACCTGTAATCCCAGGAGCCTGGGCAGAAGGATCATGAGTTCAAGGCCAGCCTGTGCCAAATAGCAAGTTTGAGGCCATCTCGGGGTCTCACTGTATTGTCCAGGCTGGCCTCTAACCTGTGACCCTCCTGCCTCCGCCTTGCACGTAGCTAGGAGTACAGATATGCACCACTGTGTCCAGGTACATCTATTATTTATGAAAAAATCACTTGCTATGGCTTGGAATCCAACTGTCCCCCAAAAGGCTCACTGTGTGGAAGGGTTGCTTGCTGTTGGGCTTTTGGAAATTTGTTGACTCACAAGAGCTCTAATGTGATCAGTGGTTTAATCCTCCGATGAGATCATAATCTGATGTCATTATGGAGGTTGTGGAAACAGGAGGTATGGCCTAGTTGAAAGGAGTGGATGATGGGGCATGACATTTGAAACATGACATTAGGGCTTGGATCCTCCGAGGACTTTTTACTTTTCTTGTGCAGCTGTGTCAAATATCTTGTAACCAGCCACAGCTACATCAGATGCCACATGGCTGCTCCAGGAGACATTTGTTTTCAATGCAACAGCCGCAGACTCCACCCTGCAACCCCCCTAGATGATTTCATCCCTCTG